AGGCCTGCTGGAACAGCCAGGTCTTAGTGGCTTTACGGAAGGCCGGAAGAGTAGTGAGGGTCCGGATCTCTACAGGGAGATCATAGGACCGGGGCAGCAACAGAGAAGGCCCTCCCCCGGGGGGTCGCCAGCCGACATTGACCCGCCAATGGTACCCGGAGGAGGCCCAATCTGTGTGATCTAATCGGTCTTTGGGAGGTGAATGGCAGGAGGCGGTCTCTCAGGTAGCCAGGTCCTAAACCATGTAGGGCTTTAAAAGTAACGACTAGTGAAACCTAGCTGTTACATATTTTTACTTTATATTTTTGTATTAAACTTATCAAAGGATAAAATGCAAACGAAAGTGAAAATAGTGGGAAAACGGGAGAGGAAAAAGGGAAGAGAAAGAAATATACGGGAAAGGGGGAAAAAACGAAAAAGCCTTGACTTCCGATTCTTTTTAGTGCAGTAGAACGTCATAATAACATTACAGCCTCAACTTTTTACTTTTACATACTTTTTATGTACTAGCCATTTCTGGAGCCACAAACTTATCTAATCAGAAAAATCCAATATCGTTTCATTTCTCTCCACCCCCCCACCTCAAGCACAAAATCTAGAAATGGTTTCCAAGTAGAAAATAAGTTCTTACACTCTTGCTGACCACGACGTTATTAAAAGCAGCTTTCCAGGCAGTTAAAAAAAGCAACAACTGATTGTTCATCAGGAAAAACTATAAATGATAAGGTAAAGGTTCCCCTCGCACATATGTGCTAGTCATTCCCGACTTTGGGGGGCGGTGCTCATCTCCTTTTCAAAGCCGAAGAGACAGCCAGCGCTGTCTGAAGACGTCTCTGTAGTCATGTGGCCAGCATGACTAAATGCCAAAGGTGCACAGAATGCTGCTATCTTCCCGCCAAAGTTGGTTCCTATTTTTCTACTTGCATTTTTACATTCTTTCGAACTGCTAGGTTGGCAGAAGCTGGGACAAATGACGGGAGCTCACTCCATTACGCGGCGCTAGGGATTCAAACCGCCAAACTGCTGACCTTTCTGATCGACAACTCAGCATCTTAGCTACTGAGCCACCGCGCCTCTTCTGTAAATGAAAAGCCTCTAAATCTGCCAGAGGTTTTATAGAAGGCAATGCCATGGGTTAATGTAGCTTATGAAAAAGGGTAATCCGGTCATCAGAATCACTTAGCATTCTGCCTGATTGTTCTTCATTTCTTCTTTATGGAGTGGTGTTTTTTTTTTACAGTTTTCACGATAGATATGACTATGATAGATAAAACGTACCTCATGGTGCTTAAGGCCAGGAGCCCGAATGAAATGGTGTGGACCAAATGGTAAGCCATAGCAGGTTTGAACACGGTGGCGGACGTGGGTTGTTTTCCCGCGGATTTGATACTCGCACGGCCACTGAACAAATGAAGGTGAAGGAAAGGAAGAAGATGTTTATACTGTGGCCAGCCAGAAGACGACTTTAAAGTTCTTTTTAAAAAGGACATTGGTATTCAGCTCAAAGCATCCTCTCGCTTATTGATTCTTTATTGAGACAATAAACATAAACATAACATTTATAAACAGTATCCTGAATAACAGGAAGCGAGCTTCCTATAATCTTCTCAGCTGTCCTTACCACTCTCTGTATGGGCTTTCTATCTGAAAAGTGGCATATATATGCTGCCAGGTTCCTTTAAAGCTGTTTCTGCTCTTAGTGAAGTTGGGGGGGAGGGGGGAGAGGAAGGTCACAACCAGAAAAAAACTCAACAGTTTAACAAAAGACCTACCTAAGGTTTTGAAAAGAGACAACAGCAGCTGTTGTGGCCGTGATCAACAGGACAAATAAGTAAGGGTACAAAACGAGTGTATTTGATAGTCTTGCAAAAGTATTAAAAGGCAAAAGACCAAAGGCTTCTTCGCACAAGTACAGGTTAGCATCAAAATCTCTGAAGAAAATAAGAAGAGAAATATGGTGACAAAATCTGTGACTTAAAGTATTTATTTACTAGAATTATACTCTATACTCTGAAATGTGGAAAAACCTTCCTTCTAAGAAAATACTTTAGAAAAACAATTATTGCTGTACCTTGTTGCTCCGAATCCAAATTTTGCTTTCAGAAATTTGAAGATGTGCTCATCGGATTGCAGATTTAGAATTCTCTATGGGGAAAAGGGAAAATGTACAGCATTTATATTCTCTGGAAAGGACTGTACAACCTAGTCTCATTCCTGCTGCCAATCCTCCTCATGAAACAAGTTATTACTTGAGTATTCTCTAAAGCAGGGCAGTCATTCATGGGATTCAAATCTGCAAGAAAAGTACTCTGAAGGGGAAAAGGTTTTACTTTCCCTGAAGATTTCTGTGAACCCAAAAGTCTGTTCCAGAAGGGGTGGAGGATCCACCAGAAGACAAATTAGAGCTGTAGAAGATTGAAGTTTTCTTCTACATCAGTGGCGTCAAACTCAAGGCCCAGGGGCCAGATCCGGCCTGCGAGATGTTTAGGTTTGGCCTGCAGGGCCACCCTGGACAGTGAAGGACCAGTCCACAGTGTCTCTGCCAACGAAAACGGAGCTCAGGCTGCCCTCCCGAGCTCCATTTTTACTGGCAGAGGGTTGCAGGATGCCGTCGCAGCCGAAAACGGAGCTCA